ATAAAATTATATATATAATATAAGTATTATATAAATATAAAATTTAAAATAATATTAGGTTATATTAGGCTAAAAATAATAAAAAACTAGAAAAGTAAACTATTTTAGTATAATTAGTATTATATTATAGCTATTAATTAAGGCTATCTTATAATAGCCTTAGCTATTATTATTATAAAAGTAAACTATAAACCTATTAATTTTACGCTTATAACTTATATTAAGTTATACTAAAAACCTAAAATACTTATATATATAACATATTTATATAGTTTACCCTTACTTATATTTTAAGTTAATTTTATTTTTTTTTATTTAAGTTATTTACCTTTTTTATTATTAAAACCTTATTATAAATAACTAATTATAAGTTACTACTCTTATATATATATATCTCTTATAAGTACTTACTAATATTTATTATAGCTATTTATAAACTATTATATATAAAGTATATACCTATTAATATAAGTTTTTATAAAATAAAATTAACTAGACTAGCTTATTAATAATAATAAAATAACTAAGTATAATAAAAAGCCTAATATAAGTAAATTACTTATTATAACTTTTAAGGGTTAAAGCTAATAAGGCCTAATAAGTAATATAATTATTAATAAATTAAAAGCTTTTTATAATAAAAAAAATACTTATTTTAAAATTAAAAATTTTAATTTTATAAAAATTAAAAAAATTATAAAAATAATTAAGAATTTAAAAAAAAAAGCTTTTAAAAATATTAAACTAAAATATAATATTAAAAAAGCTATAAAACTAGCTATAAAAAAGCTATTAAAACTAATAAAGCTAAGGCTAAAAAGGCTAAAAAAACTAAAAAGGCTTATAAAGCTAAAGCTGCTAAATAAATTTATATTAGTAGTTTTACCTCTTTTAAAGGGATTAAATATAATATAATAATTTTATTTATTTTTAAATTTTTAAGTTTTTATAAGCTTAAAAAATTTTTTTATAATTAATAATAATTTTATTTTTAAAATTTAATTAAAATTTAAAGTTAATTTTTTTAAAACTTTTTAATAATTAATACCTAGCTTATATATTTAGGACCTGCTTTTGGTTTTTAATAGGACCTTAAAAAGTTTTATTAAGGTATTTAGAAAAAGCAGATTTAATATAAGAATAAAACTAAGAACTGCCCGTAGCAGTGTAAAACACTGCGAAATTATTATTTCTCACAGAGACCGTATCGGCGAGGCTAACAAAGAACCGGCCGCAGGGACGGATATGTACCTCAATAGGCCTATGACCGAGCTAAGGGAGATAAATGTGGCGCTGGCCGTTGTGGCCGAGTTTAACCATCGTGAACAGCGTTATATACAACATCTCACGTCTCGTCACTATCGCAGTGGCCTTGGCTGATTTGAGAGCCATGCCCGACTGTGTGTACGATAAGTACTGAGCACCTGAGACTTTGCAAGATTTTTAGGTTTCATATCAACATACCAATGTCGGGCACAAACTAAAAGTCCGGTGTCTTTACACAAGTCACCGCCCTGTGACGGTTTGTGCGACCGAAGGGTGAATGGAAGAAGTTTTTGTGATGTGGATCTTTCAGACTTCTCTATGCGCTCTGCAAGACGTCAAGTCAACGTCAGTGCCCTTGTTTTACCCATAAATTAGGCGACGATCAAGCAATGTCGAAGACCTTGGCTATGAATGCAACGACTCGGGGATAAACCGGCTCACCGGTTGGACTGGGTGGCTACGTAACACATAAAGTTTGTTCTACAACAGCCGGCCATCCCACCAGCCCAATACCGCCACGGCCGTCCATTTCTCCATGTTTCATGGGCTTCGTGGCTATGCTGTTTGGCAGTGGAAAGGCCAATAGCTGTCCCTCGTACGGCTTCTTCCGGGATATCTAGACTTAAATCATTTCTGCAATGTGATAGCATGACCCTTTCATACATAACTAGGTAAGTATTTTGATACCTTGACTCTATTTTGTGGTACGGGATATCTACGGAATAGGTTCCGAAAAATTTTGTGAGGGTTCTGCCGAGAACATTCGGCATCGGTCGTGCGCCTTGGTATTACGTACCGGTGCCGTGTTGTACGGTAGTCGATCTTCGAGATATTGGTAATACTGACTCCAGATTGAGGGGCATCCGCTCATTACGAAACATGTGCATTTTCCGTCTGTAGAGTCTGGTGGAACACAAGTGCTTGCATTAGCTTCACCTACTACTGGGCTACTGGGATAGACCACAATGGTGTCGCTGGCGACATGCAGCGAGGCTACGACTTCGATGGGTTGCATGGCAGTCAATAATGCGCCGCCAGTGCCTTACACTCGATATATTCTCCGATATTGGTCACCAACTACATATGTATGCTGCTTACCAGGTATCACACAACTGATACAACGGCGCAGGCATTGGGCCAACAGAGGTCACACAACATCAATAAAAGTATCACAAGAACCCGAACCCCGAGCGGGGAAGGGCTCCCTCAGGCCTTGACGGCTCACCAACTTTTTGTAGTTATAGATACCGCTTACCCTCCAATGTCTCTTTGGAAGCAAGAAACGTTTGATACCTTCAAGTTGATAATCAAATTGAATTAAACCTTTTCTTGTAAGCCCAGTTAGGCTGCCCTTGTCACACCTGGTACGTTCTCATTCGTTTATGTAGTCAGCGTTGCAAGGAATACACTATGAAAACGAGACTGACATGCTTGGAACGAGCTGTCCGCAATCCTTTCTTTCAAGAATATATCAACTCACCTCGGTATCATCTACCAGTCTCATCAATCTTTATCAAACCCATCTACACCAAAAGCAACCCAATCCAGCCTCATCAATCAACGCCCTCCCTCCGCCCAGCCTTGCATCTTGCAAGCACGTCACTAGCCGCTTCACTTGCTAATCATGCTCCAAAATAGCCGCCGACATGTTCGCCCACTCCCCCATCCTCGGAGCTATCATCAGCCTAGCGCTCCTCACCGGCCCAAGTGCTGCCGCTGCCGCAGCCGTGCCCGACTCGATGCCCGCCCTTCAACCCAGGACCACTAGCGGCATCGACATGAACGCCGCCTGTAGGTGGCAATATGATGACAGCTACACGTCTGGAACCATCGGGTCTGGCTGTTATGACTGGATGTGTTGGAAGAGCGGTGAGCAATCGGGTGGTCTCGATCTCAACGCGTGGTGCCGCCACATGCATGGCCCCCAGTCGTATGCGTCGTGCAGCGGTGGCCGTTATAATTGGGTGTGCAATTACTGATTGAGAAGCCCTTGCAGTTAAATTTTTAAGTAACTGGAAGAAGAAACAATGGAAACCTTTTGGGCTGGAATTTCCATCTGTCCAGTCTGATTGAGTCAAAGTACACAGTGTAGAAGATGGGTTTCAATTTGTTTCATCGTATACGTGTTTGGCATCTCCAGAGATGCTGCATGACACAGCGAAGGGAGCTGTCTCACACGCCTTTTACGTGACTTAATTTCTATAACCAACACTGTCAGCCTAAATGTTGCTGTAACAGAAAACGTGATCTCACGCCCAAAATGGTTTATAATTCCAATCTCGCATAATGCTTGACAGTACAATGCATGATTTTGCAAAAACTATTACACTTACAAAGAGTATATCATAAGCAAATCTCTCTCTCCTATTACCACTAGTATTATATGGCTTCATTCATCGTTTATGCTATACAAAATTCAGCTTGGAGGTGAGTCTATATGTCCATCTTTTAATGCCTCTTTACACTATCCTATCATACGCCAAAAGAGGGACATATTATTCGCCCTGTTCTTGTCGCCCTTGTCGTGACTAGTCTAGCACGTCATCTTGATCCCTGGCGGGCACAGAGCAGAAACTGTATTACACGATTATCCAGAGCCTGATATCAGTTGCCAATTAGATGACGACAGAATCGCCAGTATAACAAGCTTTGGCTCAAAGTCGCGTCGAAAAGTCAACGAGTATGTAATAGATGACTACTGGAAATAATAAACCTCGTATAATCGTTGGTCTCAAATTTAACATGTAGGATGAGGGCTTTGATGCAAACTACTACCGTCGATCCTCTTTACCAAGGCATTGCCAGCAACGCGCTACACAGCATTACATTGCTGTTACTGAACCCTAGACCGTGACTCTATAAAGTATAGGCTATAGTACAAGTTGCCGCGGCCTTGCCTTCCAGAGGCAACCATGGCAAAATATCTGGATACTCTTCCACCCAGTTCGCCAGCTCCGTTCAACTCTCGCTCCCGAGGCGCGAATCGCCGGATAAAACCAGGGGCAGCCAGTACCCAATGTCAATTCAATTCCGCCCTCATGGACTAATAACAAGTATTCACGCCACGTGGCCGTCTTCGTCCTCCAGCACCGGAAGCTGAAACGTCCCCAGCTCCCGCAAAAGCTGTTCCGTATCATGACTCGCGTACCCGTGGTTGCTGAACAAGCTGTCCGCCACGGGCGTCACCAGCTTGAGTATACCGACCGCCGCCGGCTCCGAGCTCCGAATCGTGTCGGCTATACCACGCAGCATGGTAATCGTCACGGCCGTGTTTTTGCTAAGAACGCGTCAGCACCATCCGACAGAGTCACAGACGCAGGCATACATTATGGCGGCGATTTTGGACGAGCACAGAATCAACAAGCCGGGCCCGAGGGCGTTCGTCAGTATCCACCACCGCTTCCCGTATCGCTTCCGGTTGTGAAAGTCGGCGCGCAGCTCGGCGCGCAGGCGCGCGTCGGCCACGCGCCACTCCGGGTGGATGTTTTCCAGGATCTGGTCGATCATGGAGCTGGTGGTTCCGCGGCCCAGCCTGGTCTCGACGACGGACGGGTTCCGGCGCCCCGTCTTCCATCTTACGCAGGTGTTTTCGTACTCGAGGTGGAGGAGGACCAGGGCGATGCGCGTGCGGATGGGATCGTCCCGCATGCGCTTGTCGAGCCGGCAGACGCATGAATAGGCATTTCGGAGCTTTTCGTAATCGCGCACGCTGGCGCCGGCGACTTGGGGGGACTCTTTCTGCCAGAGGCCCTCTTTGCTCCAGCGGGCGAGGTTTGTTTGCAAAAAGTGCAAGTAGTCGGCGCGGATGCAGGTTCGCGCTGCCAGCAGGATCTTTTGGCGCACGGGGTCGACTGCTGCGCCGTTCGGGGCCTCTTTCATGATGCCTCTGGTGGTGTTGGGTGTGCACCCGTTTCGTCCGGGGGAGAGGTTGCTGTACATGTCTTGTCGCGGCTGGGCGGGTGATCGAGGGGACTGTCCGAGGGATGTGCTCCTTTCCAGTCTGCCAGGTCGGTCACCTGGTGCTTGACAATGGTGCCACTGTGACGCTGATAGTGACATGTTTGGTTCCATGTCCCATGACGTATAGCACGCGGGGAGAGAGATTTGACTCATCTCCAAGTCGTCGAATTGCGAGCTAAAGGGGCTTTCGGAGCAAGCATCAGCCATGGATCCATCGTCGCCTCTACGCTGGACCGGCTCGGCAGTTGAAAAGCGTGAAGAGGAGCTCGAAAAGGTTGATAGAGTGTCCAACACGGAATACCGAGACGTAGTGCTGGATGGTGGCCGAGGACTTGCAGTCGTCCCACCACCGTGTCGTTGCCGGATCATGTCTCCATCTGGGCCGCAGGCTTTGTTCTTATCTTATCATGTCAGCTTTCCATCGTGAAATGGGACGTTTGGCAACCAACATGAATTTCCGTTATTCCATACGACGCTTTGGTGAAGTTGTTCCTCAATTGGTTTTCCATAACTCGTACACAGTGAATGTCCGTCTCGGATTCGATGAGAGAACAATCTTCCGTAGCATTGGGCGACACCGTCGACTCCATACCTCGAGGGCTATCGTGCACAAGGACATTTTCCTCTCCCGTCGAGTGTTGGCTCGTCATTGAAAAGTCTGACTTCGTACCGCATATCGACACGGTGCTGAGGTCAGGACTCAGATACGACTGGTAGGTCTGATTTAAAGACTTGAATCTAGAAGCAAAACAAGGAAACAAGATGGGACCACAGTCAGGATCTAGAAATAGCCATTTTAACATGGTGAGTAGGGACACGACTTACTCTGGAGGCTCTCCGTTTTCCAGAACCAGCACTGGTTTGACGGCGACCGTGTTCCCCGTAACTACTCGCTGGAAGTCGATTCTAAACGGGTTCATGCGTCGGGCGAGAGTATGAATTGTTGTGACGTCACTCTCGTCAAGCAAAGACTTAATCGCATCGACAAAACAGCTCATGTTGTCCGGGGTCGGGGAACAACTAGGAGTCAGCAGCTGCTGCATCTCAAAACTATCCATGATGCGAAGGCACAAGACACGACAGACTCGAATACACCTTGCCGGGCAGATGAGGGAGCCGGATCACGGCAACCCCATATACCAGGCAGCCTTGTAGGGTGGTGTTTGGCATGGGACAACACCCACCGTCGGTGTGTCGCCGACTTACATGGAGTAGTTCCGTGCTCAAAGTCGGCTTGCGGGGTGTGCGGCAAGTCGGCAGCCTCCCAAGCCACAACTGCAGGCGTACGAAAGTCAGTGCGATCCGTTTCTGACATGGAGACGCGCTCCGCCCCTTGCTGTCTAGCGACCACACCGTTCCGCGTTTGACAGACCGTCTGTGTTGCCGTCCGTCCCCAGCCATACGGATTTCGAGCCATCCAGGAACGTTTCAAGAGGACATGGAGCTTCTCCGGGGGGGAAGGCGACGTTTGCGCACGTCTTCGCCAGGGATGGATACGAAAACGGTGGGCCAACAAGGGCGAATATACGTCACATCTGCCTTGGACCTGTCCATCAAACCGGTAGGGCTACGTTTTGACTCCCTCTTTGGCGTTTTGCGGACTTTCTGCCTTATCTTGGGTTGAAAGACGCACCACGGCCGTTCAATATGCGCCTGGCGGTTGACTGGTTTTGCTAGCCTGATGCCATGGTAATAATGGGTCACTGGCGCGTCGTTGAGACAAGAAGCCTCCACGTCTTTTGTCAGAAGATGCATGGAAGGAGTGATGCAAAGTTTTGAGAGCGCAGGCCAGCCAGCTGTGGCTGTTTATTGAGTCATCACGGGCCCATCTTGCGCCTTTTCCCCATCAATGGACGCATCTTGTCTCGCTTATCGTTCTTGTCCCGCGTCAGGAGGAGCTACATGCTGATCGTGGCAGGGCCAACTCACCAGGCAATGCATTATCTCATCGACTACCCCAAACAAAGCAGTTGTCAATTAAAGTTACACGGTGCCGTTTCAGGCGGACAAAGGCCACTGCGTTATATGTAATACTTGCATGCTGCAGGGCGGTGCCTGGCCGTCATTAGTTCAGCCCTAGTGCAAACTCAATTGTCACCCCTACAGATGCCGTTGTCAGCATTATCTGCAGTTTAGCTCATGTCAAAGCATCCCGGCACTAAGCCAAAACCTGACATGGACGAGAGCGGCCATATAAATCTCCGCATGCGTTGTCCACGTTTGCTCTGAGGCGGAACCGGTGTTGTAGCGTCAACTGGTATCTGATGCCACGCAAAGAATACTTGAGCGCTTACGACGCGAGGATAGCGCAGTACTACCAGCTTGTTCCAACATTTGAAGCCTCAAAGTCTAAAACGCATCTATCAGGGCTTGGCGGCTAGGAACATGGCAGATAAACTGGAAGGGGGGCTGTTGTTGTTGTTTTTGTAACAGCGCGGCGGCAGCCACCGGCATTAGCACGGACCTGCCATGGAAGCTGCCAACAAGCGGTGTCATCCAAGTTGAGTTTTCCTATCAGAATAGTCAATACGGTGTAGCGCCCTGTTCGGGATGTTTACTGGCAGAAAGCCCCGCAAGAGGTGTAAGAGATTTCAATCTTGTCACACATATTCAAGGAACAGCGTCCTCATTGACTTCTATGCGGATACCATGGCTCAAATCAAGGCCCTACCTGCTACCAGGTGGAGTCATCATGTTAGGATCAGGCACGGGCTCACGAGAGTAGAGTAGATGCTGAGCTGGAGTGGTAAAGACAGCTACTAGATGCGAACGAAAATCTACAGCGTGACCATGTTTATCTCCAAGTCTCTTTCAGTTTTCCGTCTATTGCGTCATTTTTGATAACGCTTGGCTTAGTTCGCCCGTTGAATGCCCCCCTCCCATCGTCTCACATGATTGGTCTCGAACGCACCACGAGATACGTTGCAAAATGTCAACTGGTGGTATTCCATAGCTACTATCGACTTTGCATTCCGCTAATAATTCGCTTTAAATCAAAGGCATTTGGGTTCATCAAGGTCTCGAGGCTGGATAACCCATATTATATTAAACAGCCGTGCCTTTCCTGTAACAGATATACAGTTCTCAACGGCACAGGCAAAAAAAGTTGAAATTAGCCCCAACCGAATGCAGTGTAAGCTCGGCCTAGCACTATTCAACATGTTCAGCAAAGCCCAAGACCGAGCGTTGATGCCAACGTCATTCTCTGGTATACCGCAGCTAAGTGTGCCAACGACTATCTAGCCAGCAACAGTGCAACTCTGCCACCTGATCCATCAAAAGGACCAGTTGACCGAATAGAACACCCAGCCCACCAGAGCCACTCTCCAACGAAACGAGTAGAGGCCTGAACGGAAAAAGAGGCGTCGACGGTGCAACTAAAACACCATCGCCCCGTAGCCAGCGACCAACCAACCCATGCATAACATAGCAAGGCCTCTGGACAATTAAAGCCCGCTATCAATTTGATTAGGGATATTTGTAAGCGTCCACTCCCCCCAGGGGAGGCACGTCTCATTAAGCACCTGCAACACCGTCTTCTGGGTATTCATCTTCTGCAAGGCGTCATTTCCCACCAGAAACTGGGAAAAGAAGCCGGCCGAGGCATGCCAGGCGACATGACAGTGGAAAGGCCAAAGTCCTAGACACCAATGGCGGTTAGCTTCAGAATCGTCCAACGTCTCGACATGGTCAAAAGGCTAACCTGGATTGTTGGCCGCGTCAAACTGTATAACGACGTGGCCCAATGCGCGTACCATGACGACATCCCGACGGGGAGGATTCTTGGGAAAGTCAATCGTGACACCGTCCCACTCTCCGTCTCCTTGGCGCAGAATGTAGCTGTCAAAGCCGTGGAGATGCAGCGGATGACTGAATTAACGTTAGTATGCGTTGAAAGGCCCGCAAAGCGCTGGGACACGAGACTCACGGCAACGGGGTCGCATTGTGTACATATACCCTGACGGCTTTTGCGTTATTTGTGTTTTTCACATTCCACTCCTTTTCAAAAGAGGAATTTCCCATCGCGGCCGACTGCAGTGTAGGCTTGTTGTAGTTGCCTCTAAAGGCCTGGCCGTCAAACGAAAAGAGCCATATTTTACTCTCGTTTTGGAACGCCTGCACCTCCATCTTGTACAACAAGTCCGGCTGCGGGGGATCCAGTGCCAAAATGGGCTGACTGTTAGTCAAATCATTCAGGCAAGGCTGCGGGTCGGTGACGTTCCACGGCTGGGACTGCGGCACCGCTGTGGTGTTTAGATCGTCGTAGTAGACCACGGCAGTGGCTAGGAGCTGGCTTGCGTTCAAACCGCACGCGGCGGCGGGAATTGTGCTACGCATCCAGTACGCGCTGTCCTTGCCGTCTGCGGTGACGAGGACGTCGCTGCGCTGGCCGATGCCGAGTGTCACGACCTCGGTTTTGTATGGCTTCACCGGGACAAAGTCATTGGCGATGACTTCCATGACGTGGCCGTCAATGGAGAACTTTTCGATTGACTCGCTGCCAGAGTTGATGAGGCGCAGGCGATGGACTTTGCCGCGACTAAGCTTGAACATGTTGCCGCACGCAGTCTGGCTGCTGTTGGTGTTGCCTGTGCAGTCTTGGGAATTTCTGCCGTTGATGAGATTATTGTCAGAGCGCGGGGCCTCTGGGGCAGCTTTGGGGGCCATGGTCTCTTCCACTAGAGTAAAGTACGGCTTGTGATACCAATCCGAGAGCATAATAGGACCAATGTCAACATCGTATTCCTTTGCTGCTGGGCCGTATATGACCATGGGGCCGGAGAGTCCTCCCGAGTACTGTGCAGAGTAATGGGAGTGGTACCATGATGTGCCGTAGAACTCTGCTTCAAAAGAATAAGTGAAGGATTTTCCAGAGGTTATGGGACATTGCGTGACGGCTGGAACGCCGTCTTCCCAGGGCTTATTTCTCTGTGGTAGGCCGTGCCAATGGAAGGATACTCCCTCTTCCGGACCGAAAATGTTATTGTGCACCGTGACTTGAATGGTATCTCCCCAGTTGGCCTCAATGAGCGGTCCGGGGAACTGGCCGTTGACCAAGATGACGCCAGTGGGATGGCCATCGGCGGAGGCGAGGCCCCGGCTTACTGTAAACTCGTAGGACCTGACGACACCAGTCTTGGGATTTTCCAGATAATTGTTGGTCATGAGATTCATGTCACCCCAGGGCACGCCCGAGGAATTTGTGGACGACCCGTCCGGGAGGAACATGGGCAGGCGAGGATACGTAGGCGTGACATCTGGAGTTGGTGCCGTGGTTGTAGCAGATGCCGAGGTAGACCTTGTAGTTTGGCTAGTCGTGGTAGTCGTTGCATTTGTTGTTGCAGTAGTTGTTTTGGCAGTCACAGTTACTGTAACGGCTGTCTCAAAGGACGAGCACTCGCCCAGCACGCCTTGCAGTGGCGAAAGCAAGAGCAGCGGGAGTGTCGCTGCCTTGGCAAGGGGTATATACATGTTGATAAGCGACTGTGGAAGAAACGAGGGACTAAAATTAAATAGTAACAAGAATCAAGGTTGTACTGTACAATGAGAGGAGCGCCGTAAAAGAGTCATACTTGGAGACAAACAAAACAAGTGCTGGAATTGACCAAATTACGATACTTATAAACGTTTAACTTTTGCCTACGACGGTATAGAGATGTGCACGGAGTACCCACGGGCAATACTTGCAATGGTTGAAACACTGTCAACAGAGGACACCTGGGAACAGCCAGGCCTGGTGGGACTGTTGCTGTGGAAAGAGCGGGCGAGATTGAGTTTGGTGACGGCTGAAAGCCATTTGTTTCAAAGACTTTGTTTTCTTTGGGCTGTGGCCGTTGCACCTGAAATCGAAGCCCCAAGTAACGAGCGGTTGCATGGTTTTGTCGCCAGCTGAAACCCAGCTATGGATTATTGGTTTGGAAATCCCTTTCAAGACAAGTACACACATGTCCAATGCCAGCCATTATGCATAGTAATATTCTAGAGAGCCCGATCCGTTTGCCCATTTATGGTATTCGCACCGTAGTCTAGGGTATGGCTATGACATCATATTGGCCCACGAATTTGGGCCTGTACTCTTGGCGGTCTGAGACTGAATATAGTCAGTTCAAAACCCTCTGTTTCATTTCGGCTGTTTGCCTTGTTGGCCCTTGTGGGCAAATGCACAGTTCTGAATCCGTCGTAGTTGATGGGACGACTCTTGCATTTGTTATTCGTTATCTTCAATGTTGAATCTTATCCGATGTGGGGCCTGTCAAATATGTTACTTAACATTACGTAACAATGTTCTCCATTGCTCGACCTTGGAACGTGCTTCTACTGTTGATGAGAACCTCCCTGATGGAGAGTCCATCTTCAACTCAATGTATTTGTTCAATCTAGATGCAAGCGACCAAGACCTACATACACTCCCTGTCCGGGCACGCCCTGGGTTGTGACTTCGGGTAGTTGCGCCTCGGCCCTAAGCCGTTAACCGCAAGTGGATTATGCAACCGGCGAGACGATGCAACGTCATCGGGGTGTTTCGGACGTTGGCTATTGATCCACGGAAGCCAACTCTGTATGCATGTTGGTACAACAGTCTTGACGGATGGTTGGTGGATGCCCTCATATCGTCCGTCTATCTGAAACTCATGAGAAAACAGGAACCTGGAGATGACGAGGCAGCTGTTTTATTCTCGTAACATAACATGGCCAATCACGCAGAACCCTGACAGAGCCCGAGTGCCCTACACCAAGTATAGCCGGCAACACGGGCTGACAGGTGAAAAGACGGCTTCACGAGCCGCAATCGCACCAAGACGGGATGCGGTAGACTTGGCTTTTGTTGATATTTATCAAGGGAGCTGCACGTACGGTGCTTAGACCTACTTACCTTGCAAGTTCGGATCTAGTGCGTGGGGCGCAGATTTCGCGGCGCTTATACGAACTTTCCACGTCACGGTGCTTCGTATACAAACAACGCGACAGCAAAGTTTCAGGTCGGCGCAGAAAACGGCTGCCATGCCCGCATCCACGACGAGCAGACTGCCTACATAATCAGTTTCGCCTCACCGTGTCAGACCTGTCGTGGACTAACCTGATCCAACCGCCTCCTCCGTTGGTTGGTAGTGCTCCCGTTGGCAAGGCTGAGCAACATGAGCCCAAGACCGCCTCCAAAACCACCTCCTGCACTGGTTTCACGCCCGGTGAGCATACGACTGAAGGCAAAGGACCCAGTGTTGCGGTGTGCCGGCCGCTAGAGTTGCCGTCATAGGCGTGCTTAGCTATAGTCGTAGAAGAGAATCGACAGGGTTGGCTCCGTCTGGTATACACCGTCACGGCCGGATGGGGCGCTGGCCGTTTGACACGCAGAATACGACAAGTGCTGACGAGATGACGACTATAACATGCAACTTTTGCCTTGATGGTTGGTGTGAATAGGCCATCTTTCCTCATTCTTTTTGCACTTCTCTAAACCTTGCGACATGCAGCCTCACAGAGTCTTCCTCTTCGGGGACCAAACCGGTGGCTTTGCTACTGGGCTCCAACAGCTCTTGCTGGACAAGACGAACCCATCATTGGTCTACTTTGTTGATCATGCCAACTTGGCGTTGAGACAAGAGCTGAGTCGTCTGCCCAGCACGGATCGGGAAACACTGCCATTGATTGGCAGCGTCCAAGACATTCTAACACTGCATAAAAAGGGAGAGAGAAATGTTGTAATTGATAGCATACTGTCCACCGTGTATCATTTGGCCTGTTTCATCTAGTACGTGTCGCAACATCAAGTCCCGTCATGAGAACAGCTGTACTGACAAGCTCAGCAAATATGGCAACGCAGGATGCGCCTATCCCAATGGGCAGAATATCCACGTCACGGGAATGTGCGTGGGCTCGTTGGCCGCCGCAGCAGTCAGTTGCTCCCGCTCTATAGGAGATGTAATAGTGGCTGGCATCGTTGCCATCCGAGCCGCCTTGAGAGTAGGCCTGCGTGCCCATCAGGCGGCTCTGCTCACCAGCAATAGAGCAGCACCTCACACGCATTGGTCGTATGCTGTCTCAACCGAGTCCCTGCGGCTCGACTTGATAAAAGATGCACTTGAAAAGTTTGCACAAGACATGGTACGGTGTGGTGGTCAAGAGCAAGAACAGAGAACCAGACATTACGTTAACACATGGTCACAGGATACCTCTCCTTTGAGCCATCCCTACATCAGCGCCATCGGTTTAGACTCAGTTACCGTCAGTGGACCTCCAAGCCAACTGCATCAGTTTTGGCGAGAAAATACAACTTTCCACAAACCAATCCCTATCCCGATCTGGGCTCCATATCACGGACCGCACATTTTTGGGGACATCGATGTCGAAACCATTATTGAGAGTCTACACCCCATTCCGAAACTATCACAGCAAGCTCCTATAATCTCCAGCGGCAGCGGAGTGATGGCTTCACAGACTTTGGCCGACTTGATTCGAGCCGCGTTACGGGACATTCTCTTGCATCGGCTCGACTTGCCAGCACTGGTGGGCCATATCAAGGACATTTTCAGATCATCCCCGAACCAAGACTTTTCCATGACCCCGATCGCCACAAATGCGGCCACAGGCTTGGTTGCCGCCACGGCCAAGGCCGCAGGAAACACGGGCAGCGTGGACAATGAAATCATGGACGCGGCGGCGCTTGCGGGAAGTGCAAGCCGAGCAACGTCCGCCAAAACCCACGACTCCAAAATCGCCATCATTGGCATGTCGGGGCGGTTCCCAGAGGCCGCCGACCTGGATTCCTTCTGGAGTCTTCTCGAGCAAGGCGTCGACGCGTATCGGCCGGTTCCCCCGGACCGATTCGACGCCCACGCGCACCATGACGAGACTGGACGGCGCAAAAACACGAGCAAGGTGCTGGGTGGGTGTTGGATAAACCAGCCCGGGCTCTTTGACGCCAAGTTCTTCAGCATATCGCCCAAGGAGGCCGAGCAGTCGGACCCGGCACAGCGGCTGGCTCTGCAAACTGCGTACGAGGCGCTTGAAATGGCCGGCGTGGTTCCCGACAGGACGCAGTCGACGCAGCGCGATAGGGTGGGCGTCTTTTACGGCATGGTGAGTGACGACTGGAGGGAGATTAATAGCGGGCAGAATATCGACACGTACTTTATTCCTGGTATGCCCGACTCCCTTGTCATGACGATGGTTCAGTGAGGTTCAATGTTCTGACAGTTTACTCAAGGCGGTATCCGGGCGTTTACTCCTGGCCGCATTAATTACCACTTTAAATTCAGCGGACCTAGCATTACTGTCGATACGGCTTGCTCGTCCAGCCTGGCGGCCATCCATGTGGCGTGTAATTCTCTGTGGAGGGGTGACTGTGATACGGCGGTTGCGGGCGGCGTGAATGTTCTCACCAACCCGGACATTTTTGCGGGTTTGGATCGCGGACACTTTTTGTCGACGACCGGTAAGCAGCGTGGCACATTGATGTTTTAGTCGGAGTGACTCGTGGGACTAACCCAGGTCAGGCAACTGCAAGACATTCGACGACGATGCAGATGGATACTGCAGGGCCGACGGCGTGGGAACCGTCGTTCTCAAGCGGCTCGAGGACGCCGTCATGGACAAGGATCCGATCCTCGCCGTCCTCAACAGCGCCTACACAAATCACTCGGCGGAAGCAGTCTCCATAACGAGGCCTCACGCCGGCGCCCAAGAGCGCATCTTCTCTAAGCTGCTGAGGGAAACGGGCATCAATCCTCACGATGTCAGCTACATTGAAATGCACGGGACGGGCACCCAGGCGGGAGATGCCACCGAGATGAGTTCTGTCCTGCGCACATTCGCCCCTGATTCCGGCCGCCTGTCAAACCAGACTTTACATCTGGGCTCAGCGAAATCTAATGTCGGACATGGCGAATCCGCGTCTGGCGTCACGTCTCTGATTAAAGTTTTGTTAATGATGAAGCATAACATGATTCCTCCTCACTGCGGGATCAAGGGCCGAATCAACCACCGGTTCCCAACCGACCTCCGTGAACGCAACGTATTTATTGCCTCGCAGCCGGTTGCGTGGAATAGGCCTCACGCGGGCTCCGGCAAGCGACGGGTGTTTATCAACAACTTTTCCGCGGCGGGAGGCAACTCGGCTCTGTTGCTGGAAGACGCCCCTGCCGGCGAGCACCCCGAGACCAAAGATCCGCGATCGACTCACGTCGTTGCCGTGTCGGCAAAGTCCGCCACATCACTGGCGAATAACTTGAAAAGGCTCAGGGATTTCGTACAAGACAATATACACGACTTGGATTCGCTCTCCAAGTTGTCCTACACAACCACGGCACGGAGGATACACTACCCGTTCCGGGCTGCCATGACCGCTTCGTCCGGGGACCAATTGCTCCAAGGTATCGAGTCTGTTCTTCTCCGTGACGAGATGCCCAAACCACGCAAAAGCCAGAAGAACATAGGCTTTGTCTTTTCAGGACAGGGAGCACAGTACGCCGGCATGGGCCGGCATCTGTTCCAAAACAATCACACGTTCCGCACGCAAATCTTGGCCTGTAATCAGATTTGTCTCAGCCAGGGCTTTCCGTCTATACTGGAAATCTTCAAGCAAGACGTCGACATGAACAGTCTCGAACCGCTCGTTGTCCAGCTCGCCACCACCTGCCTACAGATGAGTCTGGTGTCGTTTTGGAAATCCCTAGGCGTCACGCCAGACTTTTGCATCGGCCACAGCCTGGGCGAGTACGCCGCGCTGCAGGCGGCGGGCGTGCTCTCCGTCAGCGACACAATCTACCTGACTGGCATCAGAGCACGGATGCTTCAGGAGAAATGCAGCGCCGGGAGCCACGCGATGCTTGCCGTCAGGGCGCCCCTGGCCCGGGTGAATGCCTTGCTCGACCCGGCCATTCACGAGGTGACTTGCCTTAACGGCCCTCAGGACGTCGTCATAGGCGGCCGGGTCGCAGACGTGGAAGAGCTTGAAAGGGAACTTGCCAAACAAGACATCAAGGCGGTCAAGGTCAGCGTCCCGTTTGCCTTCCACTCGACGCAGGTAGAGCCGATCCTTGGTGAATTCTGCGACGCGGCACGGGGGGTGCCGTTCCAAACGCAGACTATACCCGTGATATCTACGCTCCTGGGCGAGGTCGTTCATCCTGAGACGACGGGTGTTTTCGGACCGGGATATCTCAAGAGGCACTGTCGAGAACCTGTCAACTTTGCTGCTGCGGTTCAGGCTGCAAGGGACGCCAACTTGATACATGCCGGGACGGTCTTTGTAGAGATTGGACCTCACCCCGTGTGTTCGGCTCTTTTGAAATCCAACATGGGCCCGGACGCGGTGACGTTGGCGTCGCTGCATCGCAAGGACGACGGCTGGAAGGTGTTGGCCGACACGCTTGCTGCGCTGTATCAGGCTGGCCTGAAGATCAACTGGGACGAGCTGCACCGCGACTTTGCGTCCTGCCAGGAGGTGCTTCCGCTGCCGAGTTATTCCTGGGACAATAAGAACTATTGGATCCAGTATGTTCACAACTGGACCTTGACAAAGGGTGATGAGCCGGCCGCCATGGCCGAAGCGACGGCGCTCCAGGCCCCGGATGGTTTGACGAGTTCTGTCCAGAAAATCATTCGGCAGACGGACGGGCCCGGATCTTTGGTTACCATTGTGGTGCAGTCCGACTTTGGGAGTGCTCGGCTGGCTGACGTCGCTCAGGGGCACAAGGTGAATGGCGAGATGCTCTGCACTTCGGTACGTCTCTGAACATTTCCACTCTTTGTGTTTTATTAATCTGTAGAATGTTGCTGACATGCTTGACTTCCCGACCGCAGTCGCTGTATGCTGAAATCGGAATGACGCTGGGCCGTCAACTACTCGAAAAGTATAGGCCCGATCTCCAGGGATACAGCACGGAAATCCAGGACATGTCTGTCGACAAGCCACTGATTCTCAAAGACGAGAATAAACAAACCCTCTTTAGAGCAGAGGTCGTTCACGACAAGAGCACCCACACGGCAAGCATGTCTATATACTCTGTCGACAGTGCGGGAAACAAGACTGTCGACCACGCCCGCTGCCTTCTTCGTTTCGCCGATCCAAATTCGTGGCTCGAAGAGTGGGAGCGCACCTATTATTTGATTGACAGGAGCGTGCATTGGCTCGAAGAGAGAGCGGAACAAGGGACCGACAGCCTCCTCTCCAGGGGCATCGTGTACAAGCTCTTTTCTTCGCTCGTCGACTACAGCCCCTCGTTTAAAGGGTTGCAGGAAGTCATTCTCAACAGCGGCGACAGAGAGGCCGCGGCCAAGGTGAGGCTGCAGGCGGAAAAGGGAGACTTTGACTGCAATCCAATGTGGATCGATAGCTTTGGCCAACTGACGGGGTTTCTCATGAATGGCCACGACTTCACGGGCAAGGACGAGGTGTTTATTAACCATGGTTGGAGGTCGATGAGGTGTGCGAAGCCATTTCGAAAGGACGCCGTGTACCGAACGTACATACGCATGCAGCATGTCGAGAAGACAAAGTACCGCGGGGATCTGTATATAATAGAAGACGGGGTGATTATTGCCGTGTTTGGGGGAATGACGGTGAGTACCATGGCCCTCTAGACACACGACATGGTTGTACTGACTACTATAGTTTCTTGGAATGTCTCGCAGCCTGTTGAACAAGGTGCTGCCTCCTCGACGGGGTGCGGAAGCCATCAACACACCTCATCCCGTGGCCGCTGCTCCCCAAGGGATGGCGGCGTCTGCAAAAGATACCGAGCGACGGCCCTTGGATATCCCAACTCGGGCCCAGCGTCAACCTAGTTCCCCTCAGACCGGTACGATGGGTAGAATTCTGGCCATATTATCCGAAGAGGTTGGACTTTCTATGGAGATCCTGACAGATGATTTGGTCTTTGCCGACTACGGCGTGGACTCTCTTCTCTCTCTTACCATTACGGGCCGGATACGAGAGGAGCTCGGCCTGGACATGGACTCGTCCATCTTCACCCATTACAGCACCCTGGGCGAGCTGAAAGCCTTCCTCGGCGCGGACCAGCTCCCAGACGACGCCGTGGCCTGCGAGTCCAGCAACGGACAGCACACGCCTCAAACCAGCGACAAAGGGTCTGGCACACTTGCCGCCCAAAAGCCCGATGACGACATCGGCCCGGACACGACTCTCAATAGAGTGTGTGCCATTATCGCAGAAGAAGTTGGGATATCGGTGCAGGAGCTCTCCAGCAGCCAGGACTTTCAGGAGCTCGGGATAGACTCTCTGTCGTCACTCACCATCCTCAGCCGCGTCCGGGAAGAGCTGCAGCTCGACCTCGAATCAGACTTTTTCGACACGCACCCCTCCTTCTACTCTCTCCAAAAGGCCCTCTGCGGAACCGGAGCGGCGTCGAACGGAGCGACAGAGGCCAACGAGACGACTCCATCCAGCCATCGTCTCGAGTCGGACCTGCGCAGCATTACGTGGCAGTCGGGCCAGAATATCGTCGCGTCACCGCCGCACGCGACGTCTATACTGGTCAGCGGGTCGCCGTCCACGGCGAGAATGATCTTGGTCCTGTTCCCCGACGGCTCTGGCTCTGCGGCGTCGTACGGCGCCCTGGCTCCCAAGATCCGGAGGGACATTGCCGTCTACGCCCTCAACTGCCCCTGGCGCACGAACGGCGAGGAAATCCTCCGTCTAGGCGTCACCCTGGACACAATGGTGGCCAAGCACCTCGTTGAAGTTGGTCGCATTCTCGACAGCCACCGGCACGGCCGGCCCGGGTCTGGCAACAGCTCTGTCGGTTTAGCCCTCGGCGGCTGGTCGGCCGGAGGCATCCTCGCGCTCGAGGCAGTGCGGCAGCTGGGTGAGGCCGGCGTCGCGGTGCAGAAAATGGTGCTGCTGGACGCTCCGAATCCCATTGGGCTGCAGAACCCGCCGCCTCGCATGTTTCACTTCTTGGATGAGCTGGGGATCCTCGGGGCCGGCAAGGGCAAGGCGCCGGCGTGGGTGCTCCGGCATTTCGACGCCATGGTTAATCTTTTGAAGTCGTATAGGCCGCGGCGGCTGGAGGCGGAGGATGCGCCCAAGTGTCTGATTGTGTATGCGAGGGACGGGATTTGCAAGGACCCCGATGGGCCGAGGATGGATACGAAGCCGGATGATGCGCGTGAGATGTTGTGGTTGTTGTATAATCGTGTTGACTTCTCGGCCGAGGGGTGGAAGACTTTGGTTGGGCAGCAGAATCTGGCTGTGGGCGTGGTTGAGGACGTCAATCACTTTTCTATGATGAACCCGGGACCTAAGATGGTAGAGATGGGGAATTTGATTGGAGAATTTTTGCTTGGTCCCAGCTAGTTTTGAGGTAATTTTAATGGTGGGAAGGGAGGCAGGACTTGGTATACTTGGCGGCTTATTTACAGAAGACTGGTCGTGATGAAGAACACGATCGACGTATAGCAATGTCGGGGGAGAGAATGAATATTAGCTACTTCGAGAATAATCAGACGTCATAGCATTAATAGAATAGAACTGTCGTATTATACTAGGAAGTGACGTTTTACAATAGTTCTAATGCCAAACTTTCCATTTGTGAATAGCTTCCTTTTTTCCAACCGAACGAAAGTTGGGCCTGTTTTACATACGATATGTGTCTGAAGTGATCCGTCTAGTGCTGATTTATTGCTCTTGAATTAAGGAAAACGTGAATGTCATGGGTGTTCCGTATCTTGACACTCTATTATTATACTCCCCATTCACATGTCGACTTGGACAAAGCCGCGGTGGTATAACATTTACATTTAACACATACCCATGCCATAAGGAGAGATGCAATGTCTTGGTCTTGTCTGCGTGCGCTCTTTCTTCTCCCACCGCATGGCAACGATCCGCCGGTCCAGGAAATCGAGCAGCCAGTCCCTGCCTGTCAAAGCCGCCTGACAAACGCCGATGGGCCTCGGAGCTGGTTGCGTAATTCGAGACACTCTGAGATCCCCTAGTGCCATTGCAGCTAATATTAGGTTGGAAGATAAATATCAACGAAACTAGAGTCGTTGAGTGTCGCAGGTGACACATGGTTGATGACACCAGTTATACCGAACCCCTTTCTGCCCCGCTGGCCGCGCGCTCGAGCAGTAGACACAGTCAATCTATTCACACGCCCGCAACGGTGGGACATAGTTCAAGCATATTCTGGCTCCAAGACGCTTGGCAAAAGCCATTCAATGTTTCTCTAAATATACAATATCCGTGTCGACCTACCGGAAGCCGGTTTCAGGTTCCCGTCGCCGTAGTCAATGGCCTAACCAGAGAGCTACCACGGCGCAGCGTCGTCATCCGCCCTGCCCGCTTACATTGACACTCATCTATTTAAAAGACGGCCCATCTCACAATATACACAATAATCTGCAACTATTCGAATTTGTGTATTTTGCATTTAAACTATAAAAATGGCATCCAGTGAGGAAACACCACGCTCCCTAGCAGGCAAGGTGGCCCTCGTCACCGGCGCCGGGCGCGGCATCGGTAAAGGCATCGCACTCGAGCTAGCCAAGCGCGGAGCCTCCCTCGTCGTCAACTACAACAGCGCCGAGAAGCCGGCGCAAGAGGTCGTCGACGAGATTTCCAAGACGGGCAGCCGCGCCGTGGCCATCAAGGCCGACATCACCAAGGTGCCCGAGGTTTCGCGCCTCTTTCAGGAAGCCCTCCGGCACTTTGGCCACCTGGACATTGTGGTTTCCAACTCCGGCACCGAGGTGTTCAAGCCGGAGGAGGAGGTGACGGAGGAGGACTACGACCGCGTCTTCAACCTCAACACCCGGGCGCAGTTCTTCATCGCCCAACACGCCTATGTGCATCTCCGGGACGGGGGCCGCATCGTCCTCATGTCGTCTGTCGCTGCGAACATGTCGGGGATTCCGAACCACGCGCTGTACGCGGGGAGCAAGGCCGCTGTTGAGGGGTTTACACGTAGCTTCGCGGTGGACGCCGGCCATAGGAAAATCACTGTCAATGCCATTGCGCCCGGGGGCGTAAAGACGGACATGTATGATGCGTAAGTACTTTGGGCGACTGGTGAGAGGAGGAATAATTGCTGATGGTCTTGTTTCCAGGAACGCGTGGCACTATGTGCCGAATGGCAAGCCGGGCATGCCCATGGAAGAGATTGATAAGGGCCTGGCAGCTTTTTGCCCGCTTGGGAGAGTTGCAGTTCCTCAAGACATTGGGCGCGTGGTTGCCTTTCTTGCTCATCCCGACAGCGAGTGGGTGAATGGTACGTTTTCTTGACTTGGAAATGTTGTGAAATGTCGCTAACCTTCTATAGGCCAGGTTATCCTCCTTACTGGAGGCTCCGTCACCTAAACAAAGAAGTCGATGACTTGCGAAACATAGATGCTGAGGTCTGCTGTGTTTTGCGTTGGATTTCCGCGCTGTAAAGGCATTTCATGAGGGGGTGGCTGTTGGCATCTCGATGGACTACCTGGGACTTTCATGTAATCTAGAGTCGCTGGCTTTGCCCCTTTGCGGAACCGAGAGGGCCGATATGTAGTGCAGAATTCGAGAGAAAGACCTGAAGCATGATAATTGCAGACTATAAAGTGAAGTCTTTTCAACGTTGGAAGAACTGTCAAGTCGCAAGAAGAGAGTGATGCGAAGTTGTCCACATTTATATTGTCTCAAGGCAACGTTCGGGAATGAGACTCGCCGTTCATTCTGCTCCGCTTCCCTTTGCATCACGGCGCTAAAATTTTCAAATGTCTAGTCAAAAGTAATAGCAGTGAGCATGGCATGGAACGGCAGCGGAACTAGTTGAGCCGTTTATCTCCTGGCGCCCAAAGCCCATCTCATATCCAATGACACCCTACATCGAAGCAGAATGACGAGAGAACCCTTGGTTGCTAAAATTCTAAGAAATGTGTAATCGAAATGTCACACGTTGCAGAAACATGACGCAGTACGAGAGACAGTATACAAACTAGAACTTTATGGATGCAAGTTGATATCGTATATACATGTAATCAAGGCTATTATACAACTGAGTCGTGTCATTTTTGCTAACAAACTTCTACACACTCCTATTGTAGCTACGAATGTTTCTCCGACTGTGTGTAGGAGCCCTTGAAAACCTCTTCAAACTTGTACTCATTCCATCGCACCTCTGGCTTCAAGCCTGCGAATTTCCAAACTCCATTGCTCTTGACGTAGTAGTGCTCGTTGGTGGCGTGGCTATGTCCGCGTAGCTTGACCGTCTTCAGATCCGGGCTGGTGTAGACCTGATGCGCGGCCCTCAACTGATGATGCCCAATTACCTTGGACTCGGACACTCGCTCCCAATATGTGGCGCCAATAAGATGCTGTGTCTTGACACACGGATCGCCGAGGAAGTCATCGTTGGAAACCATGGCCATGAAGTCGTCGGCAGACATGGCGTCCCATTTCTCCTTGCCAATCTTGGTGTAGTCAACGTAGAGCGCTGGCGCGAGGATGGCGCGCAATCGAGCCCAGTCCTGGAATGAAATTCTCTGTGTTAGCAGATAAAGAGGTTGTTGGTTATGGAATGCCTGCTTGCCTTTGCGTCGTAGCTATCTGCCCATTCAAACACGAGTGTACTCAGGTCGAGGTAGTCTGGTGAATATTTGTTAGTGCTTCTTTCGTCTAGGGGTTATTCGTAGGCTCGCACCCTGCAAAGATATGGCCTTTGACGACCCTGTCTTGCTGTCTGTTCCAGCAGACGGGGTTAAAGATTGGTTCATATTGTGAATAACTGTACGTGTTTATCGGTGATTAGAGACGCTGGACAGAGCGGAAAGCCTAAATTGTGTATTAGAAGAACAGTGTAGGCGTCTGGCAATTCTGTATCATGGATACGGTGGTAATATAGTCGTGATTGTGTTGCTTATGCTCCGCAGCCGAGTTCGTGTAAGCCGCACAGACAAACACCAGCGCCACTTCTCTAGCCTGTTACAGGAGTGACAACATTGAATGACTGCATGTGGAGTGTGCGAGAGTAGACCCACCCTAGTCGTACATATGTCAATAGTTTTACATGTTAGTTTCAGGTAGTAGATAAATATCAACGAAATGCGGCTAACAGATGCCGCGTTCAGGTAGATGGCTGTACGGACTCAATCTTGCATCCGCAGACGCAGCACATCGAGTTCTCCTAGTTAAAAGCGGTCACCGCTAGCTCAGGACATGACGAAGGCAACGGAGATGCGGCGTAAGGCTCGTCCACCGGTCGCGAAATGGCCGTGCCATTTGTCGCGCAAGTTGTGGGAAGTATGTTCGTAATTTACGGCGAGACTGACAATCGCTCTGTATGGTCGGCCACGCCCTTGTCAAAAGACGCTGTACCTCTCCATTCTCGGCAAGATGCTACTTTGGTTCAGCTTCAGGGTACGTCAACAAATTCATAATGTGCCTGGTACAAACCGTAGGTGATGCTCCTGCTGACCACTACCTTCCTTAGGGCCCTGTTACCAGCATGGACGCCGTTTAATAGTCAGAAACCTTGTTACGCCTGTTCATAAAGAAAGCTATCAAAATGCATCTGGCGTTTTGGCGAGTTTGTGCGGCAAGCGTGTCTGCTTCCCCCGTAGTCTGTTGTCCCAGGCGACCATGCACGATAATCCTTATCCCAGCGACTTACACGTTGCAACTGAAAACTGGAAATCATATTGATTTCCCATCATGTCCTGTCGAATTATGCGTATATTCTAGTCTAGTTCACGCTTCACAAATGCCCTACCAAGTAAATCCGTCATCTCACACAAAATATCGCCTCATGAGAATTTCCCCCCCTTCAATCCCCGCCCCGACCCTCGGCATCGTGAGTATCCCAGCAGCAACCAAGTCTTCCGCCAGCCTGGCAATGAGCCCATCGCACCCTTTCGCAGCGACAACGTCAATCGTGACAGGCAGATACTCGGTGTTGTTCGTAATGGAACTAAACACGGGAACCTGGCCCAGCGGGAAGACACTATCCGGCGTCTCGGCAAATAGCGATATCTGGCTGTTGGAAAAGCCAAACGGCGGCACTGGCGGATTGATATATCGATTGCGACTGACGAAGTCCGCTGAGCCGTTGACGTGGAGAAGAAGGCCTGAGGAGCAGGTCAGGGGGTCGGAGCTTGGCGGGAGGATGTTGCCGTTGAACCAGTCCATGAAAAGCGTCTTGTTGCGGACGGCATCGGACAAGAGGGAACTTGGTTGGGAGTCTCCCCAGGTCCAGCGAGCCAAGGGGACTGGGTTGACAAAGGGGAGGCGGCCGTCATGAACGGCTAAAGAGGCTTGGTTAGGGTGTTTTATCACACGTGTTGATTTGGGTTGCACTTACCAGCGTAATCACGATAAAATGGTTCTCGGACAAGTTTTGCCTGATCTTTGGAAATGATCGCCGCGTAGGTGGTATTCAGAAGCTGCGCAAGGCTCTGGTCGCCGGCTGATGTTGGCCTCGTCCTCTCCCATTCTTTGTTCAAATCTATATTAGTGGGGGAAGTATCAAGGAATTTGGCCAACTTGGTGACAAAGTTTTGTAGTATTGGGGCGTGAGAGGTATTTCCGGCAGGAAAGTCCAGCAAGTACAGCTTTTTGGGATATCTCGGCGCCTGGTGTCCGAAAAATGTGTACTTGTCCCGGTACAACGCCGCATTGGCGGCATTCCAAAGACAGGGATCGCGGGCCAGGAATCCAGGCGTGTCCAATTTCGGCGACAGCGGCATGACATTGTCGAGGCTGACGAGGCCGTGGGAAGGGCGATTTCCGAAAATGCCCTGGACGGTGGCTGGTCCTCGGATTGAGCCACCGGTGTCGCTGCCGACAGCCAGATCTAGCCACTCGTATGATGCTATTGACGAGCCGGCACCGGCGGACGATGTAGCGGGATCCTGATATCCGTCTCCGCGAGGGTTGAATGGAGAATGGTAGTCTACCCAGTCTGCAGTCGGTGTCTCTCCGTTGGCAAACTGCGATGTCTTTTGGACGCCGACAATGATGGCCCCCTTGTCAATGAGGTTTTGCATCGCAGTGCCTGTACTATTTGCCACGGGGTATAAATGGTACCACGCGCGGTTGCCGCAGCCCTTTTTGACGCCGGCCAGAGAGAAGATGTCCTTGACTCCGATGCGGACGCCGGCCAGGGGCTTGGCTTCGGTTTTCGTAAAGTACAGGCGGGAGGGGACGCCGATTGTTATCGAGGCGGCGGCTGGGACTTGTGCTGACAGTGTTTGGAAGCGGCCGTCGGGTCGTTGTAGCAGCGACTGGGTAAAGGCGCCGGCAAAGTCATCATAAAGCCGGTAGGCTGGGTGTACCTCTCCCGTATGGACATTGAGGAAATATGGACCAGAGGGTATCTTGTGAGTGACTTGAAGCGGGAATACCGAAGATGAGACTCCATCATGGTAGTTGTGGTTCTTGTTCGTCAACTTGGCAAAGTTGAAGACAAAGATGGTTTCGAGAAATGCAGGTTGCCAAACATCGTCCACGGTAGACCAATTAAGAAACAAGCTTTGTAGAGTTGACTCGGTGTATAAATCCCCGGCTATGACGGTTGCCGGGACAAATCCAAGTTGATTTTGGCGAGTATTGATCGCAACCGAGCCATTGGTAACCTTGCCCTGTGAGAAAGGCGAAACGAAATAGTCGATGCCATTCAGTTGTAACGAAGTCCCGCTCCCTACCAAGGAAGATGCAGCAGTCGCCGCGAAGGCGAGGAACAGAAATGTTTGGTTCCAACCCATCCTGTCGTATCAGCGTCTAACCATGCCGATCACACACAGTCTTCCCCGGAACTTGGGAAGAGAGCGATGCGGCATTTAAATACTTCTCTGCTGCTCCGTCTTTGTCAATTCATCGTAGATCCTAGTACATGGCCATGTAGTAAGCCTAGCTGCATCTCCGAAGCCATGTCGTACGTCCGGTGATGCCACGATTCGCCGAGTTGGTTCTCACCAGCGAATTAATAAGACAACAGCCACCTTTGTGGAGATTTCCGTGATACCTTCCCTGCGCTTTCGGTAGTTACATCATGCTGTCGGCAGTATGATACGCCAAAACAGAATTAGCCTCGTCGTACATAAAACTGCGCACTTGGCACTGCAACGCTACACAGCAGCGTACCCATGACGACTGGCTCAGAAGGGTTTGACCGGTGGAGAAGAATGATGCTGCTACTAGTCTGCCTTTGGCATGGGATCTGCCATGATGACATGGAGGAAACAATTGGAGGTTCCAGTCAGGTGAAGTGACGCGCATAGCAAGAACCCTCAAAGCGGCCCGTCAGCATTCAGCCCATATTATGAAAGGTGTCAAAACCTCTCTTGACGGCTTCGCTTCCATGTCGGCTGAATCAAAATGGTGCCTGG